TGAGTGTTTTTCCATCCCTACCCTCCCGTCCCTCGTAACCATCAAAGATTGTTTCTTTCTGTGTGTAAACCTTTTCATGAGTTTTTATAGTAGTGGTCTCATACAATATTTGCCCTTTTGTGAGTGACTTGTTTCACTCAACATAATGCACTCCAGATTCATCTATGTTATGAGATGCTTCGCGGATTCATAATTGTTCTTTGTCATTGCGCGGTATTCCGTTGTTTGTATGTACCATAGTTTGTTTATCCATTCATCTGTTGATGGACAGTTAGGTAGTTTCCATCTTTTTGCTATTGTAAACAATGCTGCAGTGAACATGGGTGTGCATATGTCTGTTCATCTAACGGCTTTTATTTCTCTAGGGTATATTCCTAGGAGTGGAATTGCTGGATCATATATGGTATTTCTGTTTCTGGCTTTTTAAGGAAGCACCATATTGTTTTCCAAAATGGTTGTACCATTTTTCATCCCCACCAGCAGTGCATAAGAATTCCAGTCTCCCTGCAGCCTCTCCAACATTTGTTATTTTCTGGTTTTTGATTCGTGCCAGTAATGTCGGGGTGAGACGGTATCACGCTGTGGTTTTGATTTGCATTTCTCTAATGGCTAGTGATCGCGAGCATTTCTTCATGTATCTGTTAGCTACTTGAATGTCTTCTTTGGTGAAGTGTCTGTTCATATCCTTTGCTCCTTTTTAAATTGGATTATTTGTCTTTTTGTTGTAGACCTGTTGGATTTTCCTGTGATCTAGAGAGTAGACCTTTGTCGAATTTGTCATAGCCAAAAATTTTTTCCCAGTTTTAAGTTCTCTTTTTACTCTTTTGGTGAAGTCTTTTGATAAGCATGAATGTTTAACTTTTAGAACATCCTGTTATCTAGCTTATCTTCTGGTGTTTGTGTATTGTTAGTTTACTTTTTTTTTCTTTGTTATTAGAATGTAAGCTCTTTGAGAGCTTACATTGTCTGTCTTACTTATTGGTCTGTCTCCATGGTCTAACACAGTGTTCGTGTTGCAGGACCAAGTGAATCCCTACCTGGTGCACTGTAAAGGCAAGAGATAAGACACACTGAGTTTTGAGAAAAGACAAAGTAGTTTATTGCAGAGCAGCAGTGCGAGGAGCCAGGGGACTTGCCCAGATCTGCCTCCTCATGCAGGGGCTAGGCTACATCGTTTATTGGGATTCTAATGTAGGAAGTTATACATACTCATCAGTTTTCCGAGAAATCTCATACATAGGTAATACAGGGCAGAGAGAGCATGTGCACAATGATCATACGTCGCATGTCCAGACTATGCATGGTCCGGGGGCAAGTTCTGGTTCAGGCTGGTTCTTGCATTTTTGAAACACCTGATATTTTTTCTGAAAAGCAAGCTAACAAAGTGGTTAAGCAAGGGGCATGGGGGAGGTTGGATAAGAAACAGAAGTAGACTGGGGTGATTTAGGCACAGGCTTCGGCTTCAATTCAAGGTTGGATAAAAAACAGAAATACACTGGGGTGATTGAGGCATAGGCCTTGGCTTCATCTGGAGAATGAATGAGGTTCCTATATATAGATTGTTATGGAAGTACATGGGAGGGTCATCTTTTCTAGCTTAGGCATGGAGTGGAGGTGGTAGTGGTGGCTGTTAGTAAGGAAGGCTTCATGAATACGTGATTTTTGAGCTGAATCCTGAAGGACAAGTACGAGTTAGCCACGTGAATAGGATAGAGGAGTTCTGGGTCAAGGGATCAGTGTACTGTTTACAAAGACCCAGAGGTCAGTGAGAGCATTTTTGCAGTTAAATGTGTCTAGAGTGCAGAAGTGGCTTAGTGAGAGAAGGATTTAGAAAGGTACACCCAGAAGATGAAGTTCCTTCTATGCCATGGCAAGGGAGGCTATGGGGAGCCATTAAATTATTTTTTTTACTGTTTTCAGAGTAATCAAAATTGCAGTTTTATAAAGATTATTCTGGCAAGAGGCTTGACATTTGATTGGAGGCTGACAAGACCAGATACTGTGAGACTTCTGCCTGTACTTTCTTCTGCTTGGGTATCTTCTAAGTTAAGAAACTCACTTTGCTCCCTTTTGGGGGAGACAGATTGTTTTTGTATGCAGTTCTCTAGACCCCTTTATGCTAAAAAAATATTGAGGACCCCAAAGAGATTTAGTTTATGTGAGTTATATCTACCACTGTTTATAATATTAGAAATTTAAACTATTTATTACTTTATTTAAAAGTAATTATAATAAGCTTATTATATGTTAACAAATAAAATATTTCTATGAAAAATAAGTATATTTTCCAAAACAAAAAAATTACTGCATAAAATGTGCAAATGTTTTATACATTTGCACATTGTTAGTATCTGATTGGATTTTGGATTCTTTATTTGTGATGGCATTCCATCTGTTGCAATGTGTTGTTTTGGGTCAAGTATATAAAGAAAATCTAGCCTCATAAGATATGTAGTTGGAAAAGGAGGAATATTCTAATAGCCTGTTTAGATTATTGTGGCTATTCTTCTTTGATACTACACCACAACTCAAGAAATGGTACTTTCATAAAGATTACTTGCAATATGGAATTAGGAGTCATACCATAACCTACTGATATCTCTACTAGCTGTTCCTCATAAATGAAATGCTGTTCTGAGTTAGTATAGCAAATATATTCTCATCCTTTCATACTCTGTTACATTGAAATCCATTGGTCTAGCTTATACTTTGAGTGGATCTTTTACCCAAGCATAATTTTGCCATATCATGCATTTGTTATCTGGAGAATACTGATTCACTGAGTTGTGCAGATATTTCAATTTTGACAAACATTTCATTATACAATATCAGAAAAGTGATATCACTTCCTATCTTAAATATTGGGAGGGTCTCAAGCTCAAGGTGGCAGATTCAGGTTTTCTAAAATTCTAATTTTTGCTTGAAAGCTCAAGTTTTCTCATTGGTAAGAAATGTATTCAGTTGTTTTCTTTGCTATGATATGCTTATTTCATTCACTTTTGAGAGTATATCTGCCAAATATACAAGACTGAATAACCATAGTCGAGTTGTCAGTCATTCTTTCAAGTAAATTTGATGTTCCATGAAACAGAGCAGCTTGTTTAGCTCTCAGTGCAGTCTCACAAGTGCTTTTGTTCAGGACAGCCATCATACTCCAGTATGCAGCACAAGTGTTTTATGTGTACTTCCTGTTTTATCACACCAAATATTAAAGAGATGCGTTCTAAGGGACAAGGTATAATAAAATTAGTAATTGAAACTGCTTCATCAGAGACATTCTTAAGTAAAATTGGCCATTTTTTTTTTTTTTCACTGTGAGTGCAGGTAGAAGAATACAATGACTACTAGTACAGTTTGGTGCCACTTACTTGTAGTCATTTTGTTTGTACTTGATTTGTACTGAGGGGTCAGCAGCTTTACCGACTGTCTTAGTACTGCTCTAACAGAAATAACACAGGTGGATGGCTTTCACAAACAAATTTATTTTCTCACAATTTAAGAGGACAGAAGTCTGAATTCAGCACGCTGGTTCTAGGGGAAGACCTTCTCTCCTATTGGCTCTGGGGGAAGGTCCTTGTCTCTTCAGCTTCTGTTCCTTGGCTCCTTGGTGAACTTCATGTGTGTGACATCTGTCTTCCCCCGTCTCTGCTTATTTGCTGCTTGCTTAATGTGTTCTTTTATACAGGCAGTCCCTGGATTACGAACAAGTTCCGTTCCTAAGTCTGTCTTTAAGTCAATTTTTCCATAAGTCCGAACAGTTAGGTATGGTTTGTATAACGTCAGTTAGTCAAATATTTGTCTCAATATGTAGTATATAGTGTACTTTCTATGCATAAAAAAATTAAAGCAACACTTCCAGATACACAAAAACATCTTTAACATAATAATAATAAAGTAGCGTCTGTTTGTTATTACAAACTATTGTAAGTACCTCAAATTTTTAATGTAATCGGCTCTACAGGGATTGGTTCATAACTGTGGGTTGTATGTAAGTCGGATGTTCATAACCTGGAGACTGCCTGTATCTCAAAAGAGATTAATTTAACACATACCCTACACTAATACTGCCTCATTAACATAACAAAAACAAACCCCATTCCCAAACAGGATTATAGCCACAGGTATAGGCATTAGGATTTATAGCATGTATTTTTGGGGGATACAGTTCAATCCATAACACCCACTATTCCTGTTGCACCATAAGTACAAATGTCAACACAGTAGAAAAGAAAAAAAACTTGTTAGTATTATTATAAAAATAGTTTTGACCTCCTGAACCTCCTGAACCGCACTTTGAGAATCACTATTTTGGTGTCATGCAGTGTGAAATCTCATACACTGCTGCTGGCAGTGGACATTGGTACAGCTGCTTTGGAAAACAATTTGGAATCATCCACTAATGTAAAAAATATGTATACTTTATGACTCAGCAATTCTACTCCATACAAAAGCATACCAATAGACATTAACAAGAATATACGTAGCAGCATTAGCTATATTAGTTTCAAGCTGGAAACAATCCAAACATCTATCAACAGCAGAATAGCTAATTGCAATAAAATCATACAATGGAATACTTACACTACAACAATAAAAATGAATGAACCGCAACACACAACAATATGGATAAATCTCACTATAATTTTGAGTGAAATAAGTCAGGCATAAACAAATATATACTACATGATTACATTCATATAAAGTTCAGAAACAGAGGAAAGTAATATAAAATATTAATAGTTTGGGTAATGGTTACCTTTGGGGAGAAAAAAGGAGTTATTTATTGGGGAGGGGCATGAAGGGTCTTCTTGATTTTAGCACTTTAAAGCAGGCATTTTCTCTTTTAAATGTGGACTGATAACTGCCTTTATTTTCATGAGAATGACCTGTCTTCACATAGGTTTAATAGCATTATGATTTTTAGTTGTGGCAAGTATGTGAATGTGAACAGCAAACCAAACGTGTAATAGCTTTTTATGGCTTGTGTTCTTTATTTACAGCCTTCAAGCAAAATGAAGGTATCTGAGGAGAATTTCTTCAATGTTCCTGCTTTCTTAACTGTCTCAGGACAACTTCATCTAGAAGTGATGTCAGGGTACAGTTTTCTTTTCTCTTTTGCTTTAATGGACTATTGATTTTGGTTTGGGTGAGAGTGAAATGGAACTTTCCTTTCCAAAGCTTAAAACGTAAAAATTGGTATTTGTCTTTATAGTTATTCCACTTGAATCCAAAAGTACATTTAGATCAACAATTTGAAAATATCCAAGTTTATTACTACAAAATCACATTAGTCTAGACTTTTATTTTTAGTGAAAAATGTAGCACTGAAAATATGAAGATATGATATTTTTCTTTTTACTAATGTTTAGGGCCTAAATCTCAAATACATAATTAAAATTTAAGCATAATTAATCATGTTTATGAAAGTAAGTGCAGTTCACACCTGAACCAGGTATTAGCCGATTTTATTAGAAAAAAAAGGAACCTGGAACAGATGTTTGAATTTTTTTTCAGTTCAATTAATAAAAATAAAATTAACCCATAGAGCCATCATGAAAGACATTGTGACAAATTCAAAAGTCTTAGAAGTCAGAACACATAAGGTTTCACACACACACACACAAACTCAAACCTATTGCTGTCAAATCATTTCTGACTCATAGTGACCCTATAGGACAGAGTAGAACTGCCCCATAGGGTTTCCAAGACTGTAAATCTTTATGGAAGCTGACTGCTGCGTCTTTCTCCCGTGGAGCAGCTGGTGAGTTGGAACTGCCTACCTTTTGGTTAGCAGCCAGCGCTGTCAAACTTCTGGCAAGTCACTCTACTCCTTTGGGCCCAACTTTCTGATTCTTTAAAACAGGGGATTAAACTGATGTTAAGGTCCTGTTTAAATCTAACGTTCTGTAATTTTGTGAATAATTCAGTGCTGACTCAGCAAGTACTGAGTTTCTTTTCTCTATCTTTGTTTTCTCATATAGGGGCTGGGGATTTTAAAAATCTCTTCAGGAAATGGCTTGAGTGAAAAAAAGGGAATCTTTATGTGTTTCTTATTGTTGTTAAAATACACAGATAGGAAAACTCAGAGGAAATAGAATAGTTTGCATATTTGTTTTTATACATACTTCATTGGCAGGATGGAATGTCAATGGTGGTATAAAGATGCTCTCAAAAATAACATATACTTAGATGCTTTTCTGGTTTATCTTTGAGGCAGAAAAATGTTATTTGATTATTCTAATTATGAAATATTTGGCAGTACTATCAGAATACTATTCCGAAAAACTATCATCGTAATAGCCTTGTGAGATTATAGGATTTGCAGAGCTGGATGTGGGAAAGATCATGTCAGGCATGTCGTGGAAAGTTCCTTATGCCTGTCAAAGGATTATTTTCAAAAATTAAAAACATGACTCTCATACAAATCTGAAATGAACAGGTGTCAAAGATTTTTTTCAATTCACTAATTACTTAGGGGACAAGTAACATAATAAGACGAGTTTAATTGGATATCTGAGGAAGCCTGTATTCACAGGCAATTTAATAAAGGAATTTTAGAATAAGATTGGTTAGGGTAGTTACAACCTGGTTAAAGTCCTGTAGACCAATAAACTCTAATTTTTAGGGTTATCTCTTCTACCTGACAGAAATTATTTTCATCTCTACTGGACAAAAATCTACAAGTTTACATGTAACCTCACCTAGTCTGGGATGTTTAATTCAGAAGTAAATAGAATAGTCGAGCAAAGTACATTGCCTTAAGTAATTAAATAATCTTTGAATGGGTCTGTGTCCCCATATGATATTGAAAGGACATGTTATCCACCTTTCAGCCTTATTTCCAAGTGTTGGATAACCTTTCTTAACAGCCTTTCAATATTTATTTAGTTTATCATGATATAGGAAAGCTGTAGGTTTACCAAACATTTGATATTTGTGGAAAGTAGCAAATACTCTTTGCTTCCCTATTATAATACCACTAGTGTATTAACTATGTTCCCTCCTTCTCAGTAAAGTGCAGTGAACCACAGAACATAGTGTACAATGAAACTTGACAGAAGATTAAATTGGCACAATACTAGGTTTTATGATTTTTAATGTGTTATGAAGTGTTTCTAATAATGTCAGTCAATGTTCCTAGTTTAATATGCATAGTTCTAGGACTATTAATATACAGTACATCATGTTTCAGATTAATGCATAATCTGATCTCTAGTAAAATATTGTTAGTCCTATTAACCCTCAGCTTTTTCTTTAGTTTTAGTTAACAGACTAATAAAATGGAGAAAATGGTAGTTAAATTTAGAAGCATGACATTTTCCAAAATGATACTGTGTTGGTTAAGTAGGCTTATGGCTACCTTTTAAAGTTAAAAAAAAAATATTTAAATAAACTTTATATTTTGGAATAATATTGAAATTTATAGAAAAGTGGCAAATGTAGTACAGAGAGTTCCTGTATAATCCTCACCCAGTTTCCCCCATTATTAACTTCTTATATTACTATGGCACGTTTGTCAAAACTAAGAACTTGATGTTAGCACACATTGCTATTAACTTAATTCCAAGCTTTATTTGGATTTCACCAGCTTTTCTATTAATGTCTTCTTTCTGTCCTAGGATCTAATTCAGCTACCACTTTACATTTATTTGTCATGTTTCCCCACTCTCCCCTAGTCTGTGGGAGTTTCTCAGTCTGTCTTGGTTATCTAGTGCTGCTGTAACAGAAATACCACAGGTGGGTGCCTTTAACAAACAGAAATTTATTCTCTCACAGTCTAGGAGGCTAGAAGTCCAAATTCTGGGTGCCAGTTCCAGGGGAAGGCTTTACTTTCTCTGTTGGCTCTGGGGAAAGTCCTTGTCGTCAGTCTCCCCCTGGTCTAGGAGTTTCTCAGCACAGGGACCCCAGCTCCAAATGACATGCCCTCCTGGCTATATTTTCTTGGTGGTATTGAGGTCCCCATGTCTCTCTGCTCGCTTCTCTCTTTTGTATCTCAAAAGAGATTGACTTAAGACACAGCCTAATCTTGTAGTTTGAGTTCTGTCTCATTAACATAACTGACTGTAATCCTGCCTCAGTAGCATCATAGAGGTAGGGTATACAACACATAGGAAAATCACATCAGATGACAAAATGGTGGACAATCACACAATACTGGGAACGGGGGCATTTTGGTTTTGGTTTTTTATTAAGACCTTTAAAAACTGATAATATGGACATTTAAACCGTAAAAATGTTATCAAAGTAGATTATAAATAAGGGTAGGCAAGCCTTGGAGAATCTAACTCCCAGCTGCGTACCATCTTATACTATGGAGCAAAATAAAGTACAGATGGCTTCTTTACACTTTGGAAAAAAAAATTTTGAAAGCAACTTTATTTATAATAGTGAAAATTACTAATAATCTGAATGCTCATTCAAGATTGGTTATCCCCCAGTATACCAATAAAAATACAGTAATCATCACCATTTACCATCTGGGCCCAGTGAACTTTTTTTTAAATAAATATTTTTAAGTCCTCTTAGGAATAATTTATAGATATAAGAATAAAGGGATACAGGCATAACCTCGGAAATACTGCAGGTTCGGTTCCAGACCACCACAATAAAGTGAATATTGCAATAAAGCGAGTCACACTTTTTTTTTTTGGTTTCCCAATCCATATAAAAGTTATGTTTATACTGTAGTCTGTTAAGTGTGCAATAGCATTGTGTCTAGAAAAATGTACATACCTTAATTAAAAAATACTTTATTGCTAAAAATTGACAACCATCATCTGAGCCTTCAATGAGTCATAATCTTTCTGCTGGTGGAGGGTCTTGTCTCCACGTTGATGGCTGCTGACCAGGGTAGTGGTTGTTGAAGGTTGGGGTGGCTGTGGCAATTTCTGAAAATAAGACAGCGGTGAAGTTGGCTGCATCAATTGACTCTTCCTTTCATGAAAGATTTCTCTGTAGCATGTACTGCTGTTTGATAGCATTTTACCCACTGTAGAACTTATTTTAAAATTGGAGTCAATTCTCTGAAACCCTGTGGCTGCCTTATCAACTAAGTTTATGTAATATTCTAAATTCTTTGCTGTCATTTTAACAATGTTCATAACGTCTTCACCAGGAGTAGATTCCATCTCAAGAAACTTTTTCTTTGCTCATCTGTAAGAAGCAACTGTTCATCTATTAAAGTTTTATCGTGAAATTGCAGCAGTTCAGTCACATCTTCAGGGTCCACTTCTAATTCTAGTTCTCTTACCATTTCCACCACATCTGCAGTTACTTTCTCCACTGAAGTCTTGAACCCCTCAAAGTCATCCATAATGGTTGGAATCAACTTCTTCCAAACTCCTGTTAATGTTGATATTTTGACCTCTTCCCATGAATCACGAATGTTCTTAATGGCGTCTAGAATGGTGAATCCTTTCCAGAAGGTTTTCAATTTACTTTACCCAGATCCATCAGAGGAATGACTATCTGTGGCAGCTATAGCCTTACAAAATGCATTTTGTAAATAATAAGACTTGAAAGTCAAAATTACTCTTTGATCTATGGGCTGCAGAGTGGATATTGTGTTAGCAGGCATGAAAACAACATTAATCTCCTTGTACATCACCATCAGAGCCCTTGGGTGACCAGGTGCATTGTCAGTGAGCGGTAATATTTCGAAAGGAATCTTTCTTTCTGAGCAGTAGGTCTCAACAGTGGGCTTAAAATATTCAGAAAACTATGTTGTAAACAGATGTGCTTTCATCCAGGCTTTGTTACAGAGCACAGGCAGAGTAGATTTAGCATAATTCTTCAGGGCCCTAGGATTTTCGGAATGGTAAATGAGCATGGCTTCAACATAAAATCACCAGCTGCATTAGCCCCTAACAAGAGAGTCAGCCTGTCCTTTGAAGCTTTGAAGCCAGGCATTGACTTTTCCTCTCTAGCTATGGAAGTCTAGATGACATCTTCTTCCAATATAAGGCTGTTTTGTCTACACTGAAAATCTGTTGTTTAGTGTAGCCACTTTCATCAATTATCTTAGCTAGATCTTCTGGTTAACTTGCTGCAGGTTCCACATCAGCACTTTCTGCTTTACCTTGCACTTTTATGTTA